AATAAAAAATAAGAGTTCATTTTTAAAATATTAAATGGCATGTTTAATTTTTGCTTGGCATATTTTTGTTTTGTTTTGTTTTACTGGGAGGCTAGTATATCAAGTCCTTTTGTAATTGCTATGGTCTGGATGTGTATCCCCAAATTCATATGTTGAAATCCTAACTTCCAAAGGTGATAGTATTAGGAATTGAGGTCTTTGGGAGATGCTTAGGTCATGAAGGCAGAGCCCTCATGAATGGGATTAGTGCCTTATTAAAAAAAAAGATCGCCAGAGAGACCCCTAAGCCCCTTCCACTCCCACCCCATCCCTCCCACCCCACCCCCACCCAGCCAAGAGCGAGGAAGAGGGCCCTCGTCAGAAGACGACCATGCTGGCACCTTGACCATGAAATTCCAGCCTCCAGAGCTGTGAGCAATGTATTTCTGATGTTTGTAAGCCACTCAGTCACTATATTTTGTTCTAGCAGCCAGAATGGACTGACATCAGTCAACTCCTTTATCTGTCCTTAAAGGGAGCTTAGCTCTGGAACTGATATATTTATAATGTAATTTTACTAAAATTACTATATTTGGGTAGCTCCTGGCATCTTCCATTAAACTGAAGTTGTTCAATTATAAGTGTTTGAGGTGAAGAGAGTTTTCAGCTTTCACTCAGGAAAATAAAAGGGGGGCAGCACAATTCAACCTTGAATTTTTGACAAGAAAAACACTGCACGGATTTAAAGGATTAAAATAATGTTCTGAGCGTTGGGTCTCTTATTCCCAGATACCGGAACTCATACAAGAAGAACATTTGTGTGGACATGCTGCGAGATGGTTATCACAAGTCCTTTACTGAGCTCTTCGCCCTGATGGAGAAGTGGGATGTCCTCAGGGAGACCGCGAAGGTTAGGTCCCTTTTGTGGTTGCAGAGACCTCTGGAAGAACAGCCTGATAAGCTGGATCACTTCTACCACTACCTGACCAGGGCTGAGGCAGCTGAAAGGAAAGGTGAGTGGAGGGACTGTGGGCAGCAGTGCTGCAGGAATGGAACAGTGAGCCTGGGGGAAGATTCCAGAGTGTCTCATGTATGAATTCAAAACATAAGACACCTAAGCACCATTCATTCTAGACATTTAAGCATCTGTATGGAATACGTGGTAAGGAACCGCTGCATCACAAAGCTGCCCAGACACAAGGGCATCCTGCTGATGTCATTCCAAGCCAGGAAGACAATGCATAGCACCTGATCACATCTCCAGAATTTTCCAATGTGTTAAAATCTTTTGTATCATGAATACTAATCTTTCCATAGTTTTAAAAACATGTAATCTGAATACTGACTTTTACTGATGAGATACTTTTCAGAGTACTATAACTTGAAAATTGTACTGATTTTCTAGTAGTTATATAATGGAATTTGAAGGTCTTATCTATGAGTCCTACAGATTTCAATCAGAGAATTTTTATTAGTGAATAGTGAGAAGACACGAAAAGCTTGCAATCATAATTATGAATAAAATTGTTTATTTTATATTTTCCATCACATCATTTCTAATAAATTCCCTTTTTTTGTATCCAAAAATTTTCCAGAAAGTCAACGTTTCAAGTATTGAAAATATTTTAATCTCTACTCTAATTGTACTGATATCATTGTCATGAGGCTTTCCTAGTTACATATTAGGAATTGGTCATTTTATATAATCAAAGAAAGGAAATCCTAAAAGTTAGCATATAAATTTGGTGGTTTAAATTATTATTTTCTTCAACTTTCTGTGTGGAAACACCATAGGGCTCAAAAAGAGAACCTTGGCTCTCAACAATGCCTATATTTCATTTCAGGGCTTCCTATGGGAAAATAGAGTATTACACAACTTTTTGTCAACCAGTGCTACAGTAGGGAAAATTAATGGGGACATGGAACTGTATTAGAGAGGCAGCAAAAGTCTCTCAGTCTCTATAGTGGAGTCAATACATGTTTCCCATCAGGTTGTCACCTGGCTTGCAAATAGGAGATATACAAAAATCCTAACAGCACAAGTGAGTGTGTGTGTGTGTGTGTGTGTGTGTAAAAGGAGGTGAATATTTGTATCATGAAAAGTATTTAACTGCAGGATTGACTTTAAAAATAGAATCCTTTGGCAAATTTTGAAATGTGACATCTAATTTCTCAAGAAATTAACTATTATAAATAAAAAATGTTATTGTAAAAAATCTATATTCTAGTTTCAGCTCCAAATTCTGAAGTGATATTTGCACTGAAAATAGAATTGAGCAAGATAAAATTTTCCCATTAGTCATTTTTTCAAGTTGAATTCATCATATTCACTAAGTGTTTTAAAAAGAGGCTTTCATTCGAGTAGTATAAATATGAGCTAAATACATCACTTGTTACAAGGTGTCATAAATATGAGAAACTTGTCATAAGGCATTTTGTAATTATAAAGAAACTAAAATGCTAAGTAGTCTATTTTAAGGTAGAAAACATTTTAATTTTTTATTAAAGAAAAGTAACTAAACATTTAAATAAAACTGTTTCTCCAATTCCAAAAATTAACAAAGTCCAAACTTTATAGTACTCAATATTTTATACACATGGTGTATGTAAAGAGATATTTTCTTTACTGGGTGTCTTTATCATATATTCATCATAACTGAGTTCCATTTGCTAAATGAAATAAAATTACCTCTTGCTCAGAATAACTTTTCTTTAAGGTTATCTCCTTCAAAATGCACTGGCTTTTGCCTGGTTGAAATACAGAAAATGAAAATCATTGCAAAAAACATTGTTGGAAATACTTCAGTTGAAGTATATGTGGATATTTGTATGCATTTTAAAAAATTGTATAATTGTTTTCACATTTAACACATGAATTTTATTGAAGAAAAATTATGATAAGAGTTAAAAACATCCCAGAAAATGAGATAAACACATTCACTCTTACTAACTTGAATTAATCCTCAATCTTAAAAAAATGCATGCACACACACACACACACACAAACACACACACTCTTAATCTAGAATATAAACATTTGTTAATCGTGTCTCAGGATTCCATCCTATATGGTCATGAGACATCCGGAATCTGAGAAAAATTTTCCTGAAGTAGTGTATCTCTGAGCTTTCTCATTGCTTCTCATTGGAAAGACTATCACTCTAGGGTCACAATGAAGTTCATTTAATCAAAGCTATGGCACTAACAATAGTCATCTTGGGTCAGTTCTGTCTCTTGAGACTTACAGAGCAGGAACCTAGAGTTATTTAAATTACTCTGCAAAACATCACTTGATGTTTTATAGCAAAGAAGTATTTTAAGTAAGCCAGTCATTTCTTTTTCGATTATTTTCCATTTGTTAAGGTGGGTTTTTTTTTTGGTCCCTAATAACTTTTTTTATATTACCCATTGTTGTAAATCATCTCTGTACCATCTGTAATATTATGATTAGGGCCTTGTGCCCCATGGGGCTAGAGAAGAGATGGCAATAATGGTAATGGGCAACTGAATCAATAGATAATTCAAACATTATTTACACTTGACTTTAAATTATTGTTAAGGGTTAAGCACCAATTTTTTTCCTAATAACATTTATTTAAGATACCACAAGTATGTTCTATGCAAGCAGAGTCCCATAGGATCTTTACAGGTTTTATGTAAAGCAAAACAAAAATAATTATCTGATAAAATAAGTTTGAGAAACACCAGATGAATTAACATGGACATTAAGCCGGTTGGTTGATTGCAGGACTTACCAGAGCCTTTAACATGCTGATGCATATTGTGTGGTCACTGAAAGAAGGAAATTAGCAACTGCATTTTCCAAATTTATTTCATCATGGAAATAATTTATTTTCAGATAGCACAATGAATACTGATCTAAATAATAAACCAACAACAAAAATGCTTTTCATCTTGTAAATATCTGCTGACAACTCAAGTAAGTGGTCTACAAGCAAGGAGATAAGGCTGCTTAGAAGGTAAAGGGTACAGCCCATATATTTGGATTGTTCAAAGATTCAAAACTTGAACATATTCCCTTATACTTAATACTCTGAAAATTACTCCATTTTTTTCTGTAGAAAAGAGCTTAGCTGACAAGTGGTCTTTAAATATGGAATCTTTATAGCTTATACAACTTGTTCTAAAAAAAACTTTATGAAATATTGGAAATATTTTTCTATTAAGGTGTAATTACTGAAAATCAGAAAAATTATTTTGGGGTCACTTTTTTTTAAAGAAGCTCTTTACATAACTTTTAAAAATGGAAGATATAGAATGCTTTACAGACTTTAAAAAATCATAACTCTCTAAGCACTAAAGATGACAAAGAATATAAAATATTACAAAACAGACTTTAGTGCTCCATTCACCTTAGGTAGAAGGTTCACAATGCAAAGATAAGACATAAGAGAAGTCAGTTCTGAGAGTATTTGTTTTAAGTACATAACTCCGGTTACTTACTGCTTTTCACCTAAGCTCTTGCCTATTTTGAGTAACCCTAAAAAGCAGAATGGCTCTCCAGAATCCCCAGCTCCTTCAAAACATATTCAAAAATAGGGAGACAGGGAGACCCTTTTTTTTTCTTTTTTACGTTAATGTTTAGGTATAATGCTTATTTTGAGATAAATCTTAATTTCCTATGAAATTATGAAGCAGCATATGTAAAGAAATCACATAAGTTTTAGAAATTTCTTTTGAAACATTAGAGTGACTTATGTACAGTTATTGAAAATTGCCTTTTGTTCTATCAGCCTTGTTTCATTTTTTTCTGGGCCCTTTGATTTTAATCTTACAGAAATACTAGTGGGCAATGTATAAATATTTTTCATAATTGTAATCCTTTCAGGAATATTTGAGTTGACTCTTCTGATTATAGTGACTAATTGGTATCAGTGAATTCTAATAGATAATGATTGTTATCTTTATCCTTGGAAGGGTAATCCAGAGGTTACCACGTATCTACAACTGTGCTTTCAGCACAGATGCAAAAAGATGTAAAGATTATTAATTTGTTCCTATTCACCAATAGAGTGGAGTTTACAGGACTGAGGCACAATTTACTAACACACACAATTTTGTCCAAGTTTATGATTGATTGCAGTGGGGTTTATAAGATTGATTCACAATTTATTAATGCACTTTTTGTGTACAAATACGTCAGGTGCCACTTTAGGGAAAAAGGGAGGGTTTAAAAACTAACAACCAATAAACTAGTAACTGTCTGAGTGAGAAGGATGACTAGTATTAATGCATTTTCAGCAGGAAAAGATACTCAGAAAATAGAAGCATAGAAATCCACTCTTTGTTAACATTGCTAGTAACTTGTATCACTGGAAACATTGCAGAAAGTATATGGACCTTATAGGGTCATCCCAACCATTATTTGTTATATTGATAAGCTCATGATTGTTTTTCCTTCTGGGTAAAAATACTTTGCTATTTTCATATCTTACCTGCTTTCTTCATTAACTTTTTTTTTTTTTTTTTTTTTGCGATGGTTAGGAACATTGCTTTCTCTTGAATCTCTAAATCTCTTCAAATCTTTGATGGGAAAAGTACTTTGATGATAACACATACTCATTTCTTCCACAAGAACTGGGAACAGTTCTAGTACATATTATCCTGACTTGAATCTTATATAAAGTCTAGTGTTTCAACCAAAGAGTATGTCAATTTCTAACATGTTCTGTTTTCAAAAAGATTTTTGTTGCTTTTTGTGTGTGCACATCCTTTAACGTAAGTGTTTTAGTGGTTAAAATACAGTAGCTGAATTTTGCATTCCATTTTTAAAAATAGCCAATCATGTTTTTAAGGAAAAAAAATGTCACTATGTTGGTTTGCCATTTGAAGGGACATGCTGTGAGACATTTTTTCTAACGCAGTTTGTTTTTCTTTGAAGAATACTTCGAAGGTGTCTATGATAACTTGTATGCACTGGCCTGTTACTTCAATAATTCTGAAGACAAATGGGTAAGGAACCACTTCTATGAACGATGTTTTAAGATTGCTCAACTGATCAAAATTGACGGTGGGAAGAAAGAAGCCGAGGCGCATGCGCACATGGGACTTCTCTTCGAGGAAGATGGTGAGTGGTCATTTGTCAGGCTGTCCTGGTTGCTCTGGAGGATTCAGAGTCCATGCAACCAGAAAGCACGTGGGAGTTGAGAAAAAGACCTGAGGCATTAGAATAAGAATGTAAGTTACAGAGATTAAAAAGCAAAGGTGTATGACTTACGGACTCCCCGTAAGTTTCCTTGCAGTCATATGTCCACCCAAGTGCTCAGGCTGGAGTTCCTAGCAGCAGCATCACAAAGAGAAAGCATCCTCCCATACCCTCCACACATATCGGTCAGTGCCACATGCTGTACAGCTTTGAATTTTTTTTTTCTTTCTTACAATCCTCTGTTCATTTTAACTTGATTTCTCATGTATGAAAATGGGAAAAAAAGAAGGCATACTTCATGATTTTCCTAGTGCCTCTATGTCCCCTACAAAAATATCTCTATAATTTAGGTATCACCCCATCATGATTTTATAGCACTTTCTGAAGGAAAAGTCCTTTAAAAGAAACTTCATAATGATATGTTATCTTAAGACAAGCCAAAGTCTAAAACAACAACAAATAACATCAAAAACATATTTTGTATGGTGGTTTACTAAAGAATGCAAATAAAAAGTTAAGAGTTAAAGTTATTTATGGAAGGAATGGTGGGTAGATAAGATGCAAAGAAAATATATGAAAAGATAGCATGAATGATGCTAGGTCTTTTCTCAAAAAACTCTCATTTTCCACAAAAGTTTTGACCTTGACCAAACAATTAAATTAGAAAATATTTATTAATTTGTGGCTAGGACTTTATAGGACTTTGAGAAAGGTAAAAAAAACAAAAACAAAAAAACAAAAAAAGGTTTTTGTGCTTCAGGAAATTAAACATTGTAATCTACAACATGGTAGGTGCTAAAAGGTGGTAGAAGGTTGGTTCTGGGGCCATCTTGAGGACCATTTTCAGGAATACCAGAAAAATTCAGAGGAGTGAGAGATCATACCGACTAGATTCAAGGAAGGCATAATGGAATCTGTAGGGACTGGTGAGGGACTTGGAAGATGGGTAGAATTTAGGCAGGTAAGGAAACAAGAATATATTCTGTAAAAGGGAGCTACTAAGCATAAAAGCTAAAGCATCGTTAGAGGAACTGGTAGGAGGAGCAACCTGTTTAAAGCAAAAGTGTGTTTCTGAGCAGTGGCAAGAGTGGAAAAGTAAAATAGGGACACGGCAGCATTCAGAGTTTGGGTTTAAGCTTCTATATATTCATGGTAAGGAAAGAATAATATCACTATAATTTGACAAGTTATTTGTTAAAACATTTAGCCTATTGTTAAAAGTAGAGTTTTGTCTTTCAATTTGTAAAAAAGGGGTAAGTTCTTGGGTGCCTCAGTGGCGCGGTTGGTTAAGCATACGACTCTTGGTTTCAGCTCAGGTGGTGGTTTCAGGGTTGTAAGATTGAACCCCACATCCAGTTCTGTGCTCAGCATGGAGTCTGCTTGAGTTCTCTCTCCCTCTGCTCCTCCTGTTCATGCTCACGCTCTCGCTCTCTCAAATAAATAAATAAGTCTTTTAAAAAATGGGATAAATTCTTTAGTAAGGTAAAATTCTTGCTTAAGCTTTTAAAACATATTCTCATTTCACAGGTAAGGTAGATACTTGTTTAAGCTTTTAAAAATTATTATCTTCACATTGAGGATGAGAAAACTGTCACAAAGAGATTAAGCTGGGTAGTAATGAAGCTCGTGTTGACTAGTCAGCTAGCTTCAGAGCCTATAGTCACTGCTCTGTGCAAACAAAAGATTGCTTTACTTTCATGATGTGCTAATTATGAAAATTATGTATTAGAATAAAATTTAGTACCTTTTTGTTCTCTACTCTAGGAAATCCCCCCCGATTGAATAGAATAAAAACTGTTTTTTGTTTTGTTTCATTTCTGTAATTTTCTGTCACCTGCAGTAACAAATCAGATAATTGAACTGTCCATTACTGGTCCCAAAAAATAAGTCACAAAAGAAATAAGAAATAATATATGAAAATAAGGCTGAAGAAGTCAGGGCTACATTGATGAAAATGTAAGAGTGGCCCAGTGGGATTCAAATAGCTATCATAGGTATATTCTGTATTTTTCTATAAAGTTTAATTGTGATTTTTAAGATTTAGTTTGATTCAAAAAATTATTGGAGGAAAAAAATGCCTAACAAAGTTTGCCATCTGAACATCTAAGAGTACAGTTCAGTAGTATTTTGTATATTCACATTGTTGTGCAATCTGTCTTCAGAACTTTTCCATCTTGCAAAACTGAAACTCAATACCCATTAAACAACAACTTCCAGTTTCCCCCCTGATTTTTTTAAATCTCTGAATGAATTTCTGTTGAAGAATTTATTCATTGCTACCTTTCTTTATTCATTTATCTATTCATTTACTCAGCGACCAGGTACCATGGGTACCCGTATCATTTCAGTGACTGAGGATGAGGCTGAGTTTGGGAAATGTGAGGGTGGGGCCACTGTGAGATTATATTTGCAGGTCCTTGGTGTGGTCCCATTTTTGTGGCCCACCCTACAGCATGATAAAATGCACCCATATTTCACAACAAGTAGAATATTTTGGCTATGAAATTATTTTTTAGTTAGATTGTATTTTTTGTTTCGTGACCACTTTTTGTCAGGTCCAAAATATTTTTCTATGCCCTTAATCAGTTCATAGACCCTAAGAGCCATGCTGTGATTGCCTGATGAATAAAATGACTGAGTTGATTTAAAAACAAAACAAAACAAAACAAAACAAAAAATGACTGAGTTGGTGTTGCTGAAAATTCCAGACATTGACTTTGAGTGTTGATGTGTTTTGCAAATGGGGAAAAGCATCTGTGCAGTTTTTGTAATCTGGGTAGAATTGTCATGAGGAGGGTAAAACTAGGACTACTTAGAATATGTGGCTAGAGTACGGTGGGAACTCACCTGGCTGTAGAGCTCCCCCTGAGGTGATGGAGGTGTAGCTTCCGCAAATCTGAACTGATTGGTCCAGACAAGCAAATGGAGGCCCTACAGCAACAGCTAGGCAGCAGCTGTGCTCAGGGGCAGGGGTGCCCATTCAGGTTAAAGCAGGATACCAGCCGGCAGATGGCAAAGGGCAGGTTGTCAGGACCCAACCAAGCAGGCTGTAGTCCAGGGCATGGCTCCAGAACCCTCAGGGAACTATAGAGCAAATGAACATGGGCAGAAGCCATAGTCGCAGGGACTGGGCACCTGGGCGCAATCAGGGCCAGTGTGCAGCCCCACTGGCACATATGTGACTAGAGCCTCACCCAGAGCCCCCTGGGCAGAGTCGAGCACAGGTTCTAGTTCCCACTGCTGTTAAAGATGAGGCCCTAGTACACAATGTGGCCTGATTTTCATTGACTAAAGGGCTGACAGTCTCATTCTTCATGTCACATATCTTCAGACTAGAGCTGGGGGAACAGGCATGAGTAGTCATGTACTGACAAATACTTGTAACAAATCAGCGGCTGTATCTTCTTTCAGAATTGTGACCTATTTATAAGGGCAAATGGACAAGCAGCATTCACACCACATCTGTGAAGCATTGGAGAAAGCTCTCAGACACTAGGTTAGTAGGAGATGTGCCCATACATTCTAGAGCAGCATGCAGAGGTCCAGTGGGGCCAGATGTCAGATGCTGGGAGAGAAGGTTTCTTGAGAGACAGGATTAGGGAAACTCTGGCTCCTCCCCTGGGATGATCTGGGGCCAGGACAACAGTGGCATTGTGACATGGCAGAGCCATCCCTTCAGTACTCTTCTGTCAGACCATCATTAGTGGTTGGGGCCAGCACCAACCCCTTCCCTGACATGGTTATGATGCTGGGGTCCAAGACTTGCAGTTGTGATTCTATCAGGATTGGGGTGGGGATGGCAAACTCGGACAGGATTGACCACATCAGCATTCATAGTTGAGCAAATACCAACAATTTTCCCCTTCCCCAATTCCAGTGATTTAGGATCTGGGTCCAAGCCTTGCTTTTGACCAGATTAATGGATTTAGCACTGAGTCTCACTGGTTTCTATAGAGCCTTACAGAAGGTTAATCTCTTCCAAAAGGCTAGCCTGGAGGGATCAGTCTTGAGCAAGTTAACCCTTAATTTCTGTCTACCTCTTTGTCCTGTTCCTCTTCTTCCAATTCCAATTGGAATTGGTACTTCCAATACAAACATTGCTTGTAAATATCATCTTTCATTGGCAGCAACCCTTTCCCTTTCAGCCCATAAGAGCTTTGAGTCTAAACTTTGCTGTGGGAAGACAGGAGGATGATTAGGAATAGATGTTGGGTGACAACCCTGGAGTGCTGATCATGGTCACTGAAAACAGGCAGAGGAAGACCAGTGTAGGAAGAGCTTCGGCCATGCACATCTTCTAGTTCAGGAGGCCATCATCTGTGATGTTAGTGCAGGGATTGATTGATGGCTAACCAAGTTCTACAGCATTGAGCCCAAGCTCTCCCAATGACAGGGAACTTCTGAAGAAAGGAGTTGTCCTGGTTGGCTTGTGCAGTTCAAGTCCCAGAGTTACTGTTGACACTCAGCTCCGTGGACAGATTCTAGGTAGTGTATCTCAGTACAATTCACCAGGGGCCAGAAGGCACCAGGAGCAGGGTAGTGTGAAGACACTCTAGAGTGGCTTTCACTCTCCCCTGATACATCCAGTAGTGGAAGGTAGATCCAGCAACAGATACTACTGTAAGGGACCATCCCCTTACCAACTTAATCTCGTGAAAAGGAGTTAGAATTCAGGAGCCCACTTATCCTTGTCTTGCTGATATTAGGTCAGCACTTTTTCCTAATATATTTCACCCATTTTTAGTGATCACAGAGAAGACATCCCTTTTCATTTTTTTTGCCTGAATTTTAATGGGGACAGTGGTTCAGCTTTCCTCTCAGTGAAGATCCACCCCATCCAAGGCAACTCTCTCCAATATCACACACACAAAAAGAAACAAGGAATTCTATTACTGAGAGTCTTAACCCCGTAGGTGTCTCAC